GCTTCGTATCAGAATTGTTTTTCATCACTTTTGAATTTTAATAGCATAGCAGTGTAGTCATAGGATGGTAAAATATACACCTTCTAGACTGATCTAAATTCCTATTTTTTTCTCCCTTTGCAATAAATATTTAATTGTATTTTCTATAAAGTTCATGTATAGGATTCATAACAAAATACCCTTCTGGAGTTTAGAGATAGTAGCTTGTGCAATCCTGGGTTTCTGCAAGCCACACTGTTATCCCTTATGTGGTCAGGCAGGAGTGGGTACCAGACATCTTAAGAGGAGCTCAAAAAATGTTTGACTTCTGGCAGAATCTTGCCATAAACTATGATTTAAAAACCCCAACTGTTGAAATAAGGTAGGCATTTTATAGAATCAAACATTACACACACTCTGGTGTGAACAATAGCTATTTTTTTCCAAGGATGCTAACCTCTTCTGGTAATTATTGAAAGAAATTATTCACTGTGATAGATAAATTTAAAAAATGTTGTAAGAAATCATCTGAAAATACCTCTTTTCATCTTTATTAACCTAATTGTTACCTCATTAAGCCATCTGATTGGGTATTATTATGATTGACTACTTTATTGGAAGGTAAGAATTTCTGTATGTCACAAGAAGATGAAGTCTTCAGCTGCTCAGTTAAGTACGTGAGTGAGATTAAATGACAGAAAGTATCTCCACAAGGAGATGTGATATGAAACTAGATTTATTTAGGACAATCTGATAGAGAAAATTGAAATGTTGAGAGTTCCTTGAAAACTCTCCAAGTATTACTGTATGTGATTCAGGCTGCAAAATGGTAACAACTGTAAAGAATATTAGGTTTGACAATTCCTATAATACTGGTGAAGATAAAAGAGGTGAAGAGTCTATGAAATCTGAGAGATTGTCACTATCCCTATTTATTATGGACTGTGTGCTACACTTGTTGGCAAATATCAGTTAAAGTTTTGCCAGTGTAAGTCCTTATGTTTAGGATCACAGATATTTGCAATTATGGAGGGATGAGTACACGGTCCCTTGACTTGCTGCTTTGTGTCAGCAAGTAGATGTGCTACATTAAGTTGGTATTGCTGTACTCAGTAAATTTGTGCCTCATTAGGGCTAACCTTGAAAACATACTCATAGTCACATAATGAATGTATGCTAAAATAGGTTGGGCTATAAAAATGGTTAATGCTTGTGGATATGCCTTCAGTTTCCTGCTTTAAACAGCTCTTGGGCTTCTCATAAATCTTATGAATGTCAAGGTAGATATTTGGAAGAATTCCTTAAATATTTCACTTCCATGTGTCTCAGGTGTGCTATTTCCTGGGGGCTAATTAATATGTTTATGAAACAAAGACTTTACTTGTATAAGTCCTTAGAGCTTCTCAAGAGAAGGGAAATGAAGGACCAACTCTTGTTGCTTACTAAGTATGTTCTTCTATTCCTGCATTAATGTCCTTTAGATGAATTTTGTTACCCTAACGAATTCAGTCCAAATCACTAGGTCAAATGATTCCATCTTTATTTGCCTCCCCCCCCCCCATTTACATCTTTGCCCCTTTGTCCTTGTCATCTTCTCCCAACATCCCATCTCCTTCCATTCCTCAGCAAAGCAAACTTTAAGATACAGTACATACAGTATACTGAATGTAAATATGAGTAGATGCAGTAAATTTTCAGAAGACTGCTTCACAGGACCAAAGTGGGCAACACGTTGAATTTGCCCACACCATTTGTTGAGATTCAAAGCCTGAGATTATGATCAGGGATGTATTAAGGCAGGAAAACCTCAATCCTTGCTCCATTGTAACAGGAAGGAAATTTTAGCTTGTTAGACAAACCTTTTTTCTTAGTCTTAATGTTACAAGCAGTTTTCTGTATGTTTCGGAGCTAGAACCCAGTTACCTTTGCTGATGAATACTTCTCAAAAATACTCTTTTTTCACCAGCAATTGCACTATTAGCTAAACAGACTTTTACAGGACAAATTAATTCTTGAAATGATTGGCCATGGATCTTGCTTTGCAGCTTATATAAATACCTAGTGAATGGGAATATGGATGAGACTACAAAGGGCAGAATGGGGAATTTAAGACTTTGTTCATACATGAAATAAAAACAAATTATGCAAGGCCTTGAATAGACTTTTATAAATGGCTTTTAGCTACTTTTAAGTGCTGTTCCTGAGACTCCTTCTTTTCACAATTGAGTATATTAGATATAATTAAACATAAATTGCCTCTAAGAGAACTGTCTAAGAGGAGAGTTATTTACTCAGCAGTATTCAAATACTTCTGCAAACTCCTGAATGTTATTGTACTAGACATCCAGTGGATATTCTTAATGCTTACAAAATATGCAATACACAAATGTTATCCTTTCTGTACAAAACTGTCAGTGGAGACTGCTGGGAGTGACATGTCCTTCTGTGGTGGTGTCAGCTTTGACTGCTTTCCAGATTGCCTTGCTGGGAGATACTGACTGCTCTGTGTGATGTCCTTTGCAGATTTGAAAAACTGTCTGTCTAAGAGGTGCTTAGACAGAAAGCGATGAATTTACTCCCTGGATGGCTGAGCTGTTTATTTCTTCTTTATTCCCAGTCCTCACTGTTTTGGAACGTATGAGCTAAACATTGATACATTCTGTGGCAGTGCAGCCTTTACATGAGGAGTCAGATGCATGGAGGATTTAAGAGATTTCAAGACATGCTGATATCCTAGTTTCCATCTCTTTAGTCCAAAGTCTGCTGATACATAGCAGGAGTGGCTACTGTCTGTGATCAGACCGGAGTTGTGAGCAGAGGCTGAATGTGTGACAGATGTTTCTTGAAGATACTTTTACAGGGGTGGGTGATGTTGGGGTTGTTTTCTTTTAATGTATCAGGTGCTGCAGGGCAGCACTGGAAGTGAAACGTTCCATTTTAGCAACAGATGAAGCAGCAATAATACAAGCTTCTCTCTGCTCCCTTCATGATGTGCCTGACTTCTCACTAGGAGCAGCAGCAGTTCAGTGACTGTGCTAACTTAAACATGGGCCTCACGCTGACATGTGAAATACTACTAGCCATAGTGGGGAAACCTGTTTAGACAGGAGGATATGAAAAAACAGGTAATTTGATGAAATTCCAATGGCTTTGTTTTGTTCTGGTTTTTTGGTGTGGGTTTTTGGTTTGGGGTTTTTTTGTTTGTTTTGGGGTTCTTTTGGGGTTCTTTTTTAGAGTTTTCATAGAGTTTTTATACTTTTCACAGAGGTACCAGGAATAAGATTCTTAAGAGGAAAAACTTTTCCCCAAATTTTTTGAAAAGGTACACCTAAATTGTACAAAATTGTACACTTCATGATGGCATGATAAAAGTTTACTGTTACCACACAAGAACAAATATTGCAGTTTATCATAGCCTTGTATCACTTACTTAGAAGGCCAAGGCCATATCAAAGACTTCTGGAAATTGTAACATAAAACTTATTAGTTATTTCACTTATATATTGTATATGTGTGTATATAGAAGATGTATATACAAATAATATTAGGAACTAGACCTGTTTTTTCCCTAGTGCAAATCACAAGAGCACATCTGAAGAAAGGGGCAATTCAGGCTTGATAGAAACAAAAAAAGTCAGCAACCTCAGCGCTGAGCTGCCCAGGCAAAGTGGAAAATAATGAGGAGCCTTGATGATGTATGGAATATTATCATGGAGGAGAGCCTAAAGGAGAGTTTACCTAGAATGACACACCCAGTCCAGTTACACCCCCTTTTTACAGAAAGAAATGCACAGCAGTGTGTTGACTGTGTTATCAGTCAGCCCACTGATCATTGATAACCCACCCAGTTATCATTCGGCCTGGAAAGAAGGAAACCTCTTAAGCTCTCCCTGGCTTAATTCTGTTCTAAGCCCATGATTCCTGCATCCCAGATACATGTCCCCATCACGAGATTTGCTTAAGCTAGGGAGGTCATCTTTAATACATCAATTGAAAAGCAAAATAGTTTCTTGAATGTTGATTTCAACTGATGCTTAATCCCCAAGGTCTTAAATTTCTGGATAGTAATCATCTGGCTAGTGTCAGATCTCTGTGGCTCACTTTAATTTTTTGTTCTTGTTCCCATAAACTGAAACCAGATTGATGGTTATGACAAGCTTGTTCAATGATGAAAAACTGAAGTTAGTGACCATGTTCCCAGCAAGACAGAAGGCTTCAAAGCAGTTTTTTCTTTTAGCTGAGTGCTCCAACCAACAGGTTTTTGTTTAAAATGGGACTGACGATAACTGCAGCCAGTTCTCCAGTTGCTTTGTCCCAGGCCTTGCACAAAAACCATGTAATGTGGTATGCTTTCACAAGCAGTATAGGCAACAATATGAAATGCTGCTGGACATTTGAGCAGCATTGTTCTTTCATGTGTGACTCTTGGCAGAAATGTAAGAGGCCACAGACTCAGGCACCAATGTGGTTAATGGTTAGCACTCAAGTTCCTCTGTAAATCTTGCCTCAAATCCAAATCCAAGAGGAATTTGAAATAGATGGTAGAGAGGACCTCAGTTACAGTGGCCCCTGTTTTGTGACATTATGCTCTGATTTGTTTTGTGCTTTTAGAGGTCCAGGTCAGTGTGCAGCAGCTACTTCGTGCCCATCATAAATTCTGGCAACGAGTACAGGGGCTTGGTGCAAAGCGTACTAGTGCCTAAGACGGACGTTGTTTGGATATCCACATGTAAAATGGAGTTTAAAACCGGCAAGTGTAAGATGAAAGCAGAAGGGCTTCTCCGTGTGTGAGCGCAGGGGAGAAAGGAGGTGCGTGCAGGGCTGACACCAACCCTGCAGCTGCGGGGGCGGCCCCGCCGGGGCGGGTGTCCCTCCCTGCCGGGGCGGGTGTCCCTCCCTGCCGGGGCGGGTGTCCCTCCCGCCGCAGAGCCAGGCGAGCTGCGGCGTTCCCGAGGGCACTGTCCCGGCCCCCTCAGCCCCGGCCTCTGCTCCCGCCGGGACCGGCGGCGGCGGCCAAAGTCAGCTCTGGGTGACGTCAGGCCGCCATCCCGTGACGCCTGCGCTCGGCTCGGAGCTGGACCGGCCTCCTTGGAGAGGAAAGGACCCTCCCTCCCTAAGGGAAGCGAGCCACCAGCTGCCCAGCAGCCGGGAGGTAACTGAAGCACACACGGAACACGCTCCCGTCCCTCTCCTGTGGCCGCTCGGGGCGGGCGACACGGAGCGCCCCGCTGCCAGCGTGGCACCGCCGCCCCGCGCGGCGATCCCGACGCCCCCGCGGGCTCTCCGCGCCCCCGCTTCCCCGCTGCCCGTGCCGGGCTCCACCTGCAGCCCGACGGCCGGGCCGGGAGCAGGAGCCGAGCTCGAACGCGCCGCCAGCAGGGAGGGAGGGAGGGAAGGAGGGAGGAAGAGAGGGAGGGCGACGCCGGGGCGAGGGCTGGGCTGGGCTTAGCTGAACTGAGCTGGGCTGTCTGCGGGAACCTCACTCGCCCTCTTTTAAAGGTGCCTCCCGTGGGCTTGGCAGCCGTGCGCCGTGGGGCGGTGGCGCCATCGGAGCTCTGGGTCACGCGATAAAGAGTTGGGTGTGAAAGAAGGGCAGGGCCGGAGAGGGCAAAGGCGATGCAGGCGCCCGTGTGTGCCTGTTGCTCCAAAGATACCTGGTTTTCCCTTCTGTTCCCTGTCCGGGGAACAGTGGGCAATTACTCCCGCAGCAGCTTTTTTTTCCCAAGTCACAACTCCAAGGAAACTGTATGGCTTTAGTGTGCTAAAACACAAGTTGTACATTAGTGGGTTGGAGGTAGGCCTTATGCCCCCCATATGAATGCCTGCTAATGCACAAGGTGCTTTCCCTGTTCTGAGAACAGTAGAGTTGTTGACGGAATCAGTAACAATTTTTCAGTTCTCAAAGAGGCCGAGAAGGGTAGAGCGATACATTTTTTAAAAATTCTCTTCCCACAGGCAGATCTTTTGGGTCCTGCGTAGCTAAGCATGTTCAGAATTATTTGGAAAATACATGTAGGTCTGAAAGCATTTATTAACAGTGTAAAATGATTCACCTCCACCTTAGAGATGGAGGAGTTTCATGGGATGACTTCCTCACATCTCATCCATATTGTTCCACTTTCAAATAAAAATAGGAGAGTAGACATGCTCAGTACGAGTAAGAACAAAATGTAAAGGAGGAAATCCTAGCACAACGTTGCTGCAACAAGTAGGCAAGAACTTCCAAGAGTCATTCCGGTGATTCTGTAAAAGAAGAGATCAGTCATGCTGGAAAAGGCAGACAGAGTCTTTGTTTCTAACCAGAAAAATCTGTCAACAGAATATGGGGTGGTTGGTTGTGCCCTTAGTCTGCTAAGAGAGTGAGAACTGTAGTTACTGGGGTGTAAGACCTCTTGATTTGTATCTTGCTGTGTAGCTACCTAATGAAGACTGCCCAAAACAATAGTCATTCTGGCAAGGCAGTGGTGCCCATTTTTGTCAGGAAGGAATTGTCTTCATGGAGGGCACTGTTTTGTAGGTGTTCTGTCAAACAGGCCACTACCTGAGATGCAAGTATTTAAGCCTCTTCCTGCTCCATGTAACTGATTTCAACTTGCCATTGAAAAGTGGCACATGGGTTGGTTTCAAGCACTTGTGCATACTTTGTACCTGTGCATACTTTGTACCTGTGCATCCTTTGAAAAGGATGGACCATCTGCTCTTTCAGGTGCTGTCACAGAAGACCAAAATCATCATGCCATTGTCTGAGTTGATGGTAGCCTTGTGTGCTTAGTATTGTGTGCTGTTCTGGTTATCACACATCCAAAAGAGTTCAACAGACCTCAGTAAACCAAGGTCTAGGAGCTTGAATAGTCTTTAGTAAGCTACCAAATGGCTTCCATATGTTTAAGAGAAACCAAACAGACCTGAAGGAGGATACAGGTGGAGGGTGAAACAGTAAAGGGAAGATATGAGGAGAAGTGCATGGTATTATCTAATCAGAAAGCAAATTAAGAACAAAAGGAAGTACTTTCCCATAAATAATGAAACTCATTGCCTCAGGATGTTATGGAGACAAAGTATAATTGGGTTCAAAAAGGGTTTATTCAAATGTATGGAAAAAAAGATTCATTACTTGGATTTTGCCTCTGGCTCCTTAGGAAATCCCAAAACAGCTGATTGGTTTCTAGAGCTTGCAGAATAAAAGATAATTCTACAGAAGAAGTTTCTTCTTATACTCCTTCCTAAATATCAAAGTTAGCTACTTCAGAATCACTTCACATTTTAAAACCTTTTTTTCCTCTCAAAAGCAGAAACAAAAAACCCCAAGGATATTGGTAAATTGTAGTGTTATGTAGTGTGACAGTATTAAACCAGTGTAAATACAATAGTTTCAAATGGTGCTCAGTAATGTTTGCACTGGTGCTGTCCAACACAGATGCTTTGGATGGAGTGAGACCGTGAGGCTAAATGACTTTAGCACAAAACTAGTGATTACAAGAACAATATAATTACAACTGGTACATCAGCTTCAAATAAGCAGGCAAACAATACTTATCATCTTTAGGTACATAAATCACATATTTCACCAGTGGAATAGAAGTTATCATAACTCTAGTATTGGAGTGCTAGATTACATGCATAAATTTTTTACTAGTTCAGAAATCATTAAGAATTAACTGTCATTTTTAGAAGTGGTGCCTAATTTAGTTCAAATGTTTATTTTTTGGTGAATAAAAAATAACAAATCACTAATTCTATAACCTACTATTACAAAATGCTACAAAGTGGTAAAGGCTGTGATGTTGACAAGAACAGCGGATATTCTCTTGCCATACTGGACATGAAGTTCATGGTTTATTTGCAATTTGTGAATTATGTTTGAAGATGGGCAAGGTTTGCGCCATTTTTGGAGGATCCCGAGGAATAGGCAAAGCTGTTGCAGAACTCCTGGCACAGAAGGGCTGCCGCCTGGCGATCATTGCTAGAAATCTGGAAGTAGCCCAAACCACTGCACGTGATCTTGGTGGTATGTATGCTGCTTGCAGTTATCTCTTCACTGTCCCATGCTTAGGTAACTCACAGAAGTAGTAAGTCCATAAAGAAACCTCACTGTTTAACCAGACGAAAATGAAAATAAAGGCTGAGAAATTTAAAAGAAATGCTATGTCGGTACAATTTTGGTTTTACAATATTTGTTGAGAAAGTAAGTATATTACCTATTCTGTCCACAAAATGCAAATTTTAAGATGAAAGGAATTGTTTGGGCCACAACAGAGAGGTAGTATGAATTGAGTCATCTTGGCTCCTGAACAAGCCAGAACTGAGATGTGTCTGCTCATACCGAGCTTCTGATTTTAAAAGGCAAAAAATATAAAACAAGGAATTGTCACATAACTAATCAATACAATACTTGAAAATTGTCTTTATTTAATTCTCTGGAGATTAAATGGGTTTCTTAAATTATAACTAGTTCAACATCTGTTTTGAGATTGAGTTGATAAATTCTGAAGAAGGTTTATGAATGATATACCAGCTTTTACTGTTATTATAGTGTGCCTTTATTTCAATACAGCAGGACATCTGGCACTTAGCTGTGATGTATCCAGTGAACAAGAAGTCCAAAAGACTTTTGAGGAGATGCAGAGGAATTTAGGTCCTATTAACTACTTGGTTAATGCAGCTGGAATCAACAGGTTAGTTATTCATTATGAGATTATATGTAATTCTAGATGAAGGCATCTCACTGTAAGGTGCTGTGAGCCCTTGCATTCAATAAGAGTATTGTTAATGAGTACATCTGAAAATAATATTAAGTGCTCAGCAGTATTTTGTTCCTGATGGCACTAAAATTCTAACAGATCACAGAATCACAGAATCTTCTGAGTTGGAAGGGACATGACACAGCTTTCACTGTAGTTTCTACATTCTGAGTTTGAGTTCCCCCTCTTCTTTCTTCCACTTCCCCCAAAATGCTCCAAAACCACCCTGCAAAAGAGGCCTTGTTGCCAGAAGCGTGGCCAAATTTTTTTCTTGCGATGTGTTGTGCTCACAGTCTTCCTTTTGAATGCTAGAATGTAGAGAACCATGTACAGCCCCATTAACGTTCTGTTCACCAGTCATGTTTTAATATGAATAAGCGTGACCAATGGGGTTGTTCAGTGAGTTCTTTTGGGTTTGTTTGTCAGGGATGGTTTGTTACTGAGAACCAAGACTGAAGATATGATAGCCCAGATTCACACTAACCTTTTGGGAACAATGTTGACGTGCAAAGCTGCTGTAAAAGTCATGATTCAACAACAGGGAAGCGCTATTGTCAATATAGGTAAGTTGTTTGTATAAGCCAATGGAATTCTGTTTACTAGTCTTCTGGAAAGGTTTAGCAGGAGTAACATGTTACATTACTTGTTACAATTGACTTATTTTCATTTTCTTTGTGTTTAGACATTCAATATTTAGCATTTCTTTATGAAAACTCATTCTTTTTTGTAGTCTCAGCAAGCTCTAAATATAAAACCAGCTTGTTTCAGTAATAAACACCTCAGAGTTTAGATTTTGTTGAAAAAAGAATTTTGCTGTTCTTTATCAGTTCTTTCAGTATCTAGATCTACCAGATGCTAGTTATTAACTAAGGATTGATAGATACAGTCAGTTTCTTTTCTTTATCTCTCCCCTCTCCTCCCCTCCCCTCTTCCCTCACCTTCCCCTTACTCTTCTATTTCTCTTCTCTTCCCTCACCTTCCCCTTACTCTTCTCTTCTCTTCTCTTCTCTTCTCTTCTTCTTCTCTTCTCTTCTCTTCTCTTCTCTTCTCTTCTCTTCTCTTCTCTTCTCTTCTCTTCTCTTCTCTTCTCTTCTCTTCTCTTCTCTTCTTTCTCTTCTCTTCTCTTCTCTTCTCTTCTCTTCTCTTCTCTTCTCTTCTCTTCTCTTCTCTTCTCTTCTCTTCTCTTCTCTTCTCTTCTCTCTCTTCTCTTCTCTTCTCTTCTCTTTTCTCTTCTCTTCTCTTCTTATTAATCAATGAATTAAATCTGTGTAAGGATAGTTTTTTTACAAAACCCTTTATTTTACTCTCCTGGTGCCAGTTGGTCAACATAGATATATGAATTGCACAAAAATCACAGATAATTTGGGGATTTGCTTATGCCAGCAGTAGGCTATAAAGTGCATACAGTAATATGTATTTGACTCCTTTTCTTGTAATCTCATTTTTCATTCCAAATTTAAAACTAAAATGGTAAAGCTAGTACAAGGTTTCAAGTTATCTATTTAAGCTTCTCTTTGATGTTTCTTTATTTTAGGAAGTATTGTAGGACTTAAAGGCAACTCTGGTCAAAGTGTGTATAGTGCTACCAAAGCAGGATTAGTTGGATTTTCACGCTCTCTTGCTAAAGAAGTAGCAAAAAAGCAAATTCGAGTCAACGTTGTTGCTCCAGGTGAGTTTTTGAGAAATTCCTACCTTCTTGACTGCCACAATTCATCAAGACTGTGGGTACTGTGAAAGTAACTTAAGACAAATTGTTATTATTTTCTTCAATTTTGTAAGTTAAGTGTTTTTAATATCTTCTTTTTTTTCTTTGGTTTAAAGTGTAATACGTTCTTTTAGAAAACCTTCAGTCTTTTTAATGGAACACTGAGAAATTTGGAGGAGTGAATCTACCTGTTCATCTCTCCGTTGTTATATAATAAATGTCTTTTCTTTGTTCCTCCTTCAAAACTTGCTGTCCTTGCAGATGTAAGGATTAGAGTTAATTATAGACAGACAGCTGCCCCTGTCTCCTGCTAGAGAATGCTTATTTGTTATTAGAGAAACATGACAGACCAAGAGAAGCTGTCATAAAAGCATCCCTGTCTCCCTGTAGTAAAAGGAGGGAGTCTGAGAAGTTCGTTCTGTGAGGACAAGGCTGTGATTTCCTAAGATGATCCAGCTCAAGCAAACCACCACCCTTAAGGAAAAATCCCTTCTGTATTTTCTGACTTCTTCCACTCATAACTATCTACATTGTTGCTCACTTTGTGGTGCCTCTGATGCTTTTCAGACTTCTACATGAACCATTTCAGATTGTGAACTAGGCAGGAAAAATTCTTCAGTGAGTTGAGCAGCTCATTGAAGGGTCCGAAGCCATCATAAGGGGCAGAGTAGAAAGCAAAAGGGAGACTTTCCCTGCTTGATGGCAGCTAGAAAGCAGGTAAGATCAGCTCTTTATGAAGCTGCAGCTTATATGAAGAGTTGTGCAGCGGTGGGAAAACCGAGTCTCAGATAACGGAAAATTGAAACAAAAGGTCCTTCGAAGATGTCAAGAAACAGTCTTCAAATGAGTGGTATGATAGAAATTATGCAAGTGCTGTCATAAGTTCTAAAATATAATTAAAACACTTGCAAGCTGAGAGGGTTTCTTGCCAGAGATTTCATGCTTGTTTTAATGGAGAACATTTTGGTGAAAAGAGTGTGGTTTGTCTTTCAGAAAAGTGATACTAAATATGGTTTTAGGACCCAAATTTAGTTACCTTTTTTTTTAATGGATTTCTGTAGATCTCTGCATTTGGATTATTGTATCAGTGCTTCCAAAACTGGAAGATATTTTATTGGTTAGATAAAAAATTGGTCTTGACCATAACATGGTGTGGACTGCTTTTGGAGACTCTGAAGAATGCTAGCTGGTGACGAATCCTGGTAATAGATTTCACTTTGTAGGATTCAATGAAAAATATACTAGATAAATATAGTCAAAAGTGAGGTAACTCTTCAAATATCTTCTCTCTTAGGCTTTATTCACACAGAGATGACTGCTCATTTGGAAGAAGATCAGTTGAAGAAATCAATTCTCCTTGGAAGATTTGGAGAGCCTCATGAAGTTGCACAAGCTGTTGTCTTTCTTCTAGAATCCCCATATGTTACAGGGAGTGTTCTAGTTGTAGATGGAGGCTTGCAGCTTATGATTTAAGTACTACTTCAAATAAATGCCTACTTTAATGTCATGATGGTAATATATAAATATATACCAATTAAAGGGAGAGGGTTGGAAATTGTTTGAAGATTGATGTATGTAATTGACTTGGTCTTATCTAGTCAGAGGAGAAATTCAGCAGCAGAGAAGTGCAATGTATACATTTAGCTACCTGGAAGAGTCCATTTGGTATTATGAAGTCTGTGTATGAAACAATTTGAAAAAGATCTGCTTTTGATATGGTGATAACTTTAATAACATACTGATATGTTTTTAAAACAGTTTTTTTATAAAGTCTTGTTATCTAATTTGGGATAGAGTGGAGCTTTTATTGGAATTATCATGTTACACAGAGGTTAATAAAGTGCAGAGGTATGTTTATTGGGTGGCAGGTATGATTGCATCAAGTTTTTCATGTAGGGCAACGATTGCAAACTGCATAGTTTTGCATTCTTATCAGTTAGTCCCTACAAAGTAGTGAGGGGTTTCCTTCAGGCTTTGTTTGTTTGTAGCTAACACTACAAAGCTAGGAGCCTCTAGATCTTCAGCATACCTGAATTGCCTTTAGGAGGTTTAATTATATGCAGTGTGTTTTTGTGAGGACGAAACCTACTCGGTTCCATTCTTGGATGTATGTGCAGCATTCATTTAATACAGTAGTGCTTGTGTGTACACATTGAAGGACTGTTGATTGGTCATTGGAGTTGCTAATCCTATGATATTCTGAGTTTGAGCTGCACAGACCTTTTTGCATAAAAGACTTTTCAATGACTCAGTAGGTGTTTAGGAAACACAATCACTTCCAGAGCATGAAGTCAGTACTTTGCTCTGTATCTTGAACACTTGGTTCAGCTGTTAAGTCGATGCTCCTTAATATGTATATATAGTCAATAAAATCACCATTTATTTTATTCAAAACAACTTCTGAAGCAGAGTAATTATTCAGCTTTAAATGATCCTGAGTGTTCCTGTCTTGCTGAAAACTTACCAGATGTTTGACCTTGGGCTTTTCTGTTGAGATCAAGTAATTTTTGATAATGGATGTTTTTATTATCTCTGAAGAAAACTATGACTGTGGTTTAGGACCTTTACTCTTAGCTCCAGTGTTCATTGCATCATGATCCAGATGTAGATTCAACTTTTGAAATTACTTCCCTTCTTGGCAAAAACTAAAGTACAGAAAAAGAGATCTCGATGATAACTTTGAGTCTTTAAAGTTGGAGATTTTCTTCATTTGTGCAGCTGAGAAATTTTGTCTTTGTGCCAGAAAACAATGCATGTTCAAGCTTCTTGCAGGTATGTATTGAGAAATAAGACAAGGGATGGTTGTGTGTTCAGGAAATTTTACAGTTAGTTGTAGTGAGGATAGAATACCCTTTCTGCCCCAAATATTTTGTTACAAGGAGACAGTTTTCACTTAAGAAGGCTTTCTGCCTAAAAGGTAACTCTCAAAGGCAGCTTCAATGCTTTCTCCCCTGCCACACCTCATTGTGAGTGAGAGAAGTTCTCAGCCTCTCTCTCTGATATGTGAGAGGAGAGAGAGAGCCCTAACAGACATGCATAGAGGCCTTTGGAAGGCAGGGGAGAGACAGAGAGGATAAAGAGGTCCTGAGAGGGCCTTTGTTAAATAGTGGTCCTTGCATCTGAAATAAACCTTTTTTTAATCCTTCCACTGCCTTGGCATTTTTGGAAAGAATACCTGCTTATGCTTTACCTTACAGTTGTGTACTCACTCTGGAATATATAATATGACTAAAAGTAATCCTTTCAGGAGTCCTTCCTGTTATCCCTTTGTAGAGGTGGTATTTGCTGTGAAAAGTTATGTGTTGTATGTGTCTTTGCCCCAACAATATAATTGCTAATTAGGTTTCTCTTTGATAGAAGGAATTGGCCAGAGAATTTTTTCCAAGGGCACTGAAGGTGAGGAAGGATAGCTGGTCCTTTTTTACTAGTCAAGTAGTAATATGCCAGTGACTTGGCTACTGCCCATACATGTTCTTGGTATTTTATAGATGAAGCCTCTGTGACATATCTTGACCAAAAGCCAAACTTAAGAGACTAGAAATAATTCCCTATTAGTGAGTTCTGACCCCAATTATTATTATCCCTTTTTTCTGCTGGGTAAGATAGCTGTTAAATAAGTTATTAGCAATGACATTTTTAGTTTACATTAGTGATTAAAACCTGGAATAACACTGTCAGAAGAATCTCAGCATGTCACTAAGTAATTTTTTTTAAATGTTGCAGTGCATACTGTGTTTTTATTATTGCAGTTGCCATAGGACCAGACTGAAGTGTTGGTAGCCTTAGATCATATTTTGAAAGATTTTTTTTCCCTTTTCTTCAAACTGATAAATTAGAACTGAAAACAGTAATCCTGGTTCTGTTTAGCCTGATGTGATGTCACAGATGGTGGAAGTAGGGAATGTGTAGGGTAGGTAGTAGGTCGGGTGTATGTCTCCTTCGAAGACTCCTGTACCACCAGCAATTTGTGATTGATATGTTTGAACTGACCATTTGGTAGCTCTGTTTGAGGCCTGCAGACATTAAAACAACCCTCTTGTGCACTCTCCATGTTGCTTTTGAATTTGTGGACTTCTGTCTTATCCTGCCTGCCTCAGTTGTTTCTATTTCATACTAGAGAGTCATATTTCTTTTAATTGCTTGTTGCTGGTAAGCTCTTTTGTACCTTACATTGTTTTTTTTGAGCTTTACTTTACTTTTTCAGTTTCTCAGGGAGGGAGCCACAGGTAGAACTGCCCGCAGTATTCACTGTGGATTTTTTCTTAAAAAAAAGTGTTTCATGTTTTGTTTTATCTTGCTTCCAAAAATAACGCTGAATTTGTTTTGCTTTTTCCTAAGCTTTGCACTTATGTTTTCAGAACAATAACTCAATCCTGAATAATTAATGAACAACTCGGGAGTCCATTTCCATATGTGTGTGTGTATATATATATATATATATATATGTCTGATTTTTTGTATTTTTCCCAGCATGAATTGTTCTCAGATATCTACGAGTTTAGTCTGCTGGTTTTAACACCTATTTCCTCAGTGAAATGGTTCTGCAGTTTTTTAATTCCTTAATCCCTTTGTTACTTTGAGTAATTTAGTGTTAGTGGAATACACTGTGGGCTTCAGAAACAGCTGTCTCAGAACCCTTAGGAATAGGTTGTACTTTGCCTGCCCCAACTGTGTACTTGTGGTGTTCTTTTGGCAGTCTGTGTCCTTAGGAAAGAACAACTGCTGATTCATACCCTTTCTTTTCTATCTGTAAACAATGTACTGATATGACAACTTCTTTAATAGTTTTTGGCAAGGGCATGTGTCAGATGCCTTTTAGAATTTCAAGCATGCAGTATTATTAGATCTCCATACTCTTATCTAAGTCTTTAGGAGAACTCTAAAATGTTTATCAAACATGACTTTCCTTTGCAAATGCAACTATGACTTTCCTCAGTATGTTGATCCTGTTGTCTGTGGCTTTAGAATGATTTCTGGTAGTTTGCTATGCACAGAAAAATATAATTAATCTGTACTTCCTTGATCCCTCTGGAATCTCTTCTTAAAAAGCAAATGGCCCTTCTACCCACTAAACTCCCAAAAACTTGCTGTCACTTTTTCCAGCTTCCAGTCACTTGTTAATGAGGCAGTTTTAACCCAGAAGTTCCACAGTGCAGTTACGTGATTTCTATTAGAACTGGGGAGTGATAGCCCCCAGCTTCCCCTGTTTGTCACTCTTTCCTCTGTAACCTCTTCTGATGTTTTGCTCTTTCTGATGTTTTTCAACTGCTTGCCTTGTTGCAACAAGTTGCCTAGAAGTTCTGCTCAAGTTCCTGCATGGTACCAAAAACTGATTTAGGGTTTTGTTCAGAGTTTGGGGATTTTTTTCCTCTGTGGCCTTCTCTTTTCTGAGCACTTTGCTTTTTATTTTGATCATCTGCTTGCCTTATTCAGGTATGGTTCCTGTTCCTAAGGTGCTTGTCGGTGTGAATGCACTTTTGCACATTATTCCTCTACACTCTGATCTGCCTGTAAATTTTACATTCCATGACAGATTGATTGACTGCTTAAGCTAGACTGCTGGTTTTACAAAGGTTGATGTTCAAATTCTAGTAGCTTTTAGCACATGCTAGCTTCCTCCTCCCCACTAAAATAAGTTTAATTTGATGTGTGTATTTAAAGTCATCATACTGAAGTTCAGTACATACAATCTTAGTGTTGTCATCAAGCATTTAATCTTAATTTTGTTGACTTTTCTTTTTGGTTTCATTTTAGCATATTTTCTTATTATATGTTACTTCTTTTTTTATGGAAGTCTTTTTATGGAAGTGGTAGTGGACTGCTGTCATTATTAAAAAACTTAGTCAACAGACTTGCAGAAATAAAAGTGACCATTACAAAGCCAGTCTTTGAAAATAGCATTTTGGCTCAGACCTTGTATGGTCCTGGAGACCACAGCCAGAGTTGGGTGGTCCCAATCAGCTGCATGGAAAAAAGTGTATTAAAAAATTGATCTTGACCTCTTCAGTGTGACATTTATCCAAGCTACTCATTGCTGCTGTATGTCATTACAGTTTCATTGCTGGCCTTATACTCCTTAAACGTCATAGGTACTGCCACCATCTTGGTTGTGTGGGTAATGATATTGTCTAACAACAGAGTCTGGATATTCAATGCATGTTTGATTTGGTGAGTTAATATGCTGGTATTTAGTTTTATGACTCTCCTATATATTTAGTATCAATATCTTGCCTTTTTGTCTTACTTCCATCGTATTTCTGGTATGCCTGCTATGACCTTGATTAAAACTAGACATTCAGGCTTTACGTCTTGTGCCAAGCTATATATAAATGTTTTGGTGTTTTTTATGTATGGATGTTCTCAAGTCAGACTGTGCTAGACAGTGATTTCTCAAGTGAATTTTGAAAACTTCAGACCACTGTCTTATTAGGTATACAGACGATTCCATTCCTAGTGGAAGGGAGAGAATGTGCTCTTATTCATCTGATATTTCGTCCCTTGCTACATTGCTTAAAACTCTCCAATAATATATTAAATAACAGCACCTTCCTGAGTTTTTTTTTTTTGTTTTTTTTTGTTTGTTTGTTTTTGGTTTTTTTTCATTTAAGATTAAAGTAATTTACAGATTCCCACTACTCCACATTTCTGCAGATCCTAAAGAATCTGTACTCCTCTTCCTACAACTGTTTTTTCAGGCATGCATTGAAGCTTTACCATCTAACTTTGAGAGCATTTTAAAGAAGGCTGTAGTCCAGGTCTGGTCTTTAACTTTCAGACTATGTTTTATTTCCAGACCTTTTCTCCTGTCCCATCCCATATCACTGGTCCCTACGTGGCCTTTCACCCCCTCCATGAATTTCTA